TCGGCGCCGAGAGTCTCGGCCAGTGAGGCGATTGGAGATGGACATGAGGCAAGTTGAAAGGACCCCCTTTTTAAAGAGTCTTTTCATCTGAGTTTGGCCACACTGGACTTGCAATCCCGTTGAGGTGAAACATGCCCCCACGCGTCAGCCCTGCTTTTTTTCAGATCCTTCGGGAACTGCATCGGTTTCCATCTCCTTGAACGAATGCAAGCCAGGGATGTCTGCATCAAAAGGAATGGAGTTGGAAAAACTGAAATATACAAGTGTCAGAAGGGGGATGGATATGTGCACTACACACTTTTCCACACGAGCCTGGCGAGCATCCTCCTCAGTGTCGCTGGCCTCGAGCGCTTCTCCTTGCTGGCTTGGGGTCCAGTTGGAACACGCCCTAGATGTTCGATTCGAGAACCGCGAACAAACGCCCTCTTGAGGCTTCCAGCATCCGACGTTCTTGCCTTTCTTGTATTCGTCATCGCTTCCCCCCCCGATCGGATCGTTCTCGGGGATCCTTCAGTTTGGTTGTAACATCAACAACGTGCCAGAAGAAACCCACCAAAAGCGGTGCGTATGGAAAAATAATGATGATAATAGAATATACTCTAAGGGTCCTTGGATCCTCCTTAGAAGGGGTCGAACCCTCTATAACAAGGGTTTGTACTCTCAAAACCCTTGTTTTTGAGGGTGCGGATCCTTAGGGTATGATAACAACAAAATGACCAGGACCAGCACGACGAAAATTATGCCCACTCAAGTCAGATCTGCGGGAAGGTGGTGTATGATGAAGTACTTGTGGAAGTGTGGGACCCTGAGAATTCCTTGGATTATGAGAAAGCTGTGTCCTTCGCAGTGTCCTTCGCATTGTCCTTCGCATGTCTGGCTGTGTCTGCCACCTGTCCTTCAATGTCGCAGACCTTCAGAATCTGAAAGTAGGCCTGGCATGTTCATGCCACACTTGGATTTGCTTAAGAGACCTGGAAAAAAAACAAGTCCTCGGAAGGGTGTTTAACCATAGGATAAATAAAACATCACCTTAAGCAAAACCAGGCACAGGTCAAGTGTCCGTCCTTCTCGACACGGGCCAAGTGTAGCAGCCCAACCCCAAAAGATCCGGAGCCCACTCGACATCACAGCCCAAATCGCCGCTGAGACGAAACCATATTCTTTCGGTCATGTTGGCCAAACATGGTTTCCCATTTCCCAACACTCCTTTCGTTACAGCCTGATGTGCACGTGCGCGCAACCTTTCCCAAAAGGGCGCGGGGCCCTTCGGGGAACTCCCGGAGCGATCGGGGAGGTTCGCTGCTGAAAAAGACCAGCGGCGCGGACAGGTGACGCCGGTAAATTAGGTGTATATCTTTAATGATGGGGAGACACCCTGGCCGGTCAATTGCTCTACAGGGAGCTGCTAAAGTCACCCCACACTGTCCCACAAATGTCTCTCCCCCATGGAATTGCAGAACCTGCCAGCGGCAGGTTGGGAGCTCCCTATTCGAATACACACCCACGTGTCAGCGGATGCAGCACCCCGCCTTTTCCACCGTGCCCCGCCATGCCACTGCGTCTTGCACCTGAGCCAGCTAGGTCTCAAGTTCCTGAACTGCGGTCTGGCAGCCTGCATCAATGTGGAATACGTTAATCCCCCTTCTCATCAAGACGATGTTGGACCATCCTGGAGATGATCCCCAAAGCGTTTCTAATTAGGCGTATTCCCAAGAGCTTTCTAGCGCCTCCTCTGTCACACCGTCGAACGACTGCAAAATCTCAGTCAGTGCATCTGGTGCTCCTCCGGCTCCGCCTGAATCGCAACCTTAGGGACGCAGACCAGACCGCCCATATCAAAAAAACAATATAAGAAAATTAATAACAACTTTTGTGTAGAACAAATACCATGCGTATTCATTTGGATGGATGGATGAATGGATGGACGGACGGACGGATGGATGGATGGATTGGTTGATTGATATGATATATTATATTATATACCAGGACCTTCCAACAGGTCACCACCTGCGACTTTTAAGTCTACAAAAGCCTCCAGAGGAGACCTGTTGGAAGGTGCTGGTATAATATATATATATATAGTCCCACCTCGCCAGTGAGATGGCAGGGAACACAGCAGGTGCCAAGGCGGAGCAGCTCCGCCGGCGTAACACCGTGACAAGTCCAGGTATGTCCAGAACACAGGAAAGCCTTCTAAATGTTGTCTGCTTCACTGACAACTTCGTGTTCAAGAGCAAGCATCAGCTTCTTTCGTGCCACAATGATTGAGATGGTTAGCCCTAAGATCACTGAGGAACAAAACGATTTGTTTTTGACAATGGGTGTGCAGCAGAAAGAAGCTGAGACCCCTGGAAATGAAGCAAAATACTCGAGATGCCAATGCCAACTTACCTATATACCATGGTTTTGATTGTTCCCATCGCCCAAAATAATAGACTTGTTTAGCAAATGGCCTTGTTGACTGCACAGGGGCAACATCACAGAAGCTCTGTGCAAGCATAGGCTTGTATTCAATCTGGCGAGAGGGTAGTCATGGGGGTGGGGTTGTGAAAGTTGTGATGCTGTTTTTGTTGCTCTATGTGCAATTGGTAAGCATATGTGTTCATTCAACTATGTACTACAAAAATGTCTAAATCCAAAAGGTTAGGTGTTTACTACAAAGTTCTTGGATGTAGTAATCTAATTCCATGCAACCCCCATGCAAAACCATATCTTGTGCTTTTAGAGTGTGAATTGTATTGCTCTTATTGAATGCAGTTGAGTAAGTACATCAGAATCAGAAGGCAAAGAATTGCAAGCCGCTAAATTCTAATTGAATTCAACTTCAAGCTTATTCAACTCTGCTCTACTTTTTATCATGAAATTCAAATGTAAGTCTAGTTCAATTATTTTCAAAATTCTACTTTGATTCAAGTTTCCTGCGCTATAGATTCTAATTTACTTGGTGTTCAATGAAAGCCTAATTTTAATTTGATTTCAAGCTAATTTGAATTTCATTGCTATATAATTCAGATTCAATTCTAGTATTCTATTCTGTTTCAATTTAATTTTAGTGTTTATGAAATTCTCATGTACTTCTAGAGAATCGGTGTTGCTTTGAACATGAGAGATTTTATGTAGTGTTCCAACATAGAAGCATGTGCTTTCTTAGATGAATTAAATTTACACCCCCAGCAACACCGACTCTCTAGAATAAAATCAAACCTGAATTTGAATTTGATTTGCATTGAATTAGAATCAAGTTAGCATTAAATTGGACATATAGACCAGCCAAAACCCAAAAAAACAAACAAAAAGTTCAGACCCATGGAGAGGGACCCAGGAGAGGCTGGACAGGAGACATAGGTTTGAACTGTTTGGTTGCTTTTTGTTTTTGGTTTGTCCATTGGGTCTGAACTTGTTTGTTTGGTGTTTTTTTTGGTTTGTCTATTGTGTTCAGAAGCTATTTTGCATTTGCTAATGCTTGCATATCACTACTCTCACAAAAACCTGCGTTTCTACAATCTACACCACTCCCCCCCCCCATGGCTACCCCTTCTGTTAAAAAAAGTAGCTTTCAGCAAGTCATGTGAGAAGAATGAGAAGAAGGAAGATTTTTGCGAAGGAGGTTGAGAAGGACTGACGGCTTCATGCCAGGAGCTTCATGCCTATCCAATATTGCAAGGATAGATTGAACAGAAAAGCACATCATCTATCCATAATCTGCAGACTCCCAAAGAGATAGAAGTTGGTGGATCCAACCGAAAAATGTCTTGGAAACCGTGCCTCGGCTGCCACGGTCATCTATTTGGGAGATCCAAAATGCAAAACGGCTTTTCCAGCTCCAAAAGCTCCAACGGAGCTCCATAGTGCTGGCTTCCTTCAGGGGAACACCCTCAGTTGGTGCAAATAGAACGTTCCAATACGAGCAGGTAGCAAGTGCTGAAACGCAGCCAAGCTGAAGGAATGCACATTCACTGGAAAGAGGAAGGCACTGCTTCCGGAAACTAGGGACTTGCATGTGCTTGTCCCAACCAGAACAGCCTGAAAATCACCCGTTCCAACCACTGAGAGAGTGTATGTCGATCGAATCGGGTGAAGGCTCAATGTGTGGTAAAAAGGACAAATCAACGACCAATGCCGGTGTTTTTGATTAAATCAAAAAGCATGGACGTCCTAGGTCGTTTCTGGTTTTTGCTTGTATGTTGAAAACAAGCCAGTCTATGGTCTATGCACATATATATATATACAGTATATATATATTAATATACATACGTGTGTATATATTATATATACCTCTCCCAAAGTCAATACAAAACCCCCCCCACACCGCCGTATTGGCAATCTCGTCCTCTCGCGTCCGTGGACCCGGACACCTTCACACCCTTCCATGGACCCTTCACGGTCCACTGAGCAGGAGGACCCAAGCGAGAAATCAGGTCCACGTGCGTCAGAATGGTTCCTCGGTCTTCGCACCCGCGCGAAGCAGCGGTCCGGGACGTGCCCGCGGTACGAACCGCGCGAGCGGCCAGCGGGAACCCGTGACGCTGCTGGGTCCGGACGATCAGGTGACGACGGCGGGGTTTTTCGAGGTCCAGTCCCAGGTGTCGACTCGAGTGATTCGATGTGACCCCCCCTAATAGAGGCCCCAGAAAACGGCTCGATTGGACTGGAATGGATTTGGGGTTCATGTCTTGACTCTTGATTTGTCTTTTCAAACCCCCAAAGAGGCCCGGATTAGAGGTTTTACAAACCATTGTCTGGGGGAAGGGTTTGATGGATCAAGAGTCTACATCCGATGGAATGTGTTTTCCTGAATAACCCTAAAGATAGGCATCAGATGTCATCAGCTTCTACCAGGTAGGTCTACATTATATGTCTGCATGTGTCACTTCTCACTGTCTGAGCTTGTAAACCCCATCATTCTGAATCATTCAGTCGTTTTGAGTCTTCTCGAGGTTCCAACATGTGGATCTACCAGCATCAGCATCCTAGATCGACTATGAACCACCCAAGGCATCCGGACCTCACCAGGAAAAGGGAAGGCTTAAGGCTATGGAGGGCTTGGGGGCTTGGTCCGAAGGGGGTTTCAGAGGGTGCCGCACGGGTGTGTGAGGGCTTTCAAACAAACAAACAAACAAACAAACCGCACGGGTTTCAGGTGGTTTTCAGCTTGATGGTCCATATTGATATCGGCTACAGGATGACTACAGGATGACCAATTACATCAAGGAGCGTGGAGCCCCGTCCTGTCAATGCGTCAATGCGTTCGCCTCCGTCCGAACCGATCACGGCTGGGACAGCCCAAGTCCTGAAGATCAGACGTCGAAGTCCTGGTTTAGTTTGCCTTCCCTTTGAGTACCCTAGCCCAGTGAAGTGAAAAGAATATACAGTATGTTGCCTCAGTGGAGTGAAATGAAGGAAGTTCCCTTTCACGTACCCTGAAGACTCCTAAAGACAATTCGTTTTATAGTCTATGACTGTCAGGGTGTATCTATGCGATGATCTATGAGTCTTCTGCATGGGTTCCGGCTGGGAAGTTGCCCCTGAAATCTATATAACCTCGCTTGACCCCGGTGTCAAACGAACAAATTCCTGTTCAAGCGAAACCATGGCTTGCTGAAGGACGTTTTGAATGAGAGCCATATTCGGAAGCAAGGGAGCGCCTTTTCTATCCTACTTTGACGTGCATTACCACTTATTATTGATGAGTTTTCAATATAAGCCCAGGAATGCAGCATACGCAATGTTATCTTCAACGACTTGCAGCTTCTGCTACCCCCTGGCCGGTGCGTTATGCTGTCCACTCAGCACCAAGCTGTAGTGCTCGTGGATCGGAAGTTGCACTTCTTTCAACTGGGCACGGCACGGATGGCAGTAGAAAGGAACTTCTGAAATTCCATCTGGATTCATGAACTCTTGGAGTATTCATGAACTCTTGGAGTCAAAGACTATGACGAGAATGGTCTTTTCCTAGGAGACCTGATGACTTGGGCAGTTCCTGAAAACTGTAAGCTAAGGGAACTGGACTTCTATGGGACAATGTCTGGTACTTGAAATCTGGTCAATGCCAGGGGCCATTTTTTGCGCATCCCATGAGGCACCGACCGCGCAGGACATGAGGAACCAGCCACCCACCTTTTCGAAGAGGCTCGAGAGTTTGCAGCTTCTGCAAATAGCCTCACAGCATCGGGTGGGCGATGCTGTGATGGCCTCATGATGGTGAAAAACAAGTGGTTCATGCGTGGTTTGAGGTCCATGAAAATGCAACTCCTACCAAAAAAGCCTCCAACACGTAGTTGTTGCACCAAAAAGCCAGGAGGTGAACCTGGGCACCTCTTAGAAACACAGGTGCTTCACCTCCTTTCTCGGGTGCAGGGTGTTCCAGCGACTCAGCGGCTCTTCCAAGCTGTGAAACTTGGGATGACTTGGGACTTGGGCAAGATCACTGTTCCATGGTGTTTCATGGCGTTCCATACCCATCTATGGCGACCGGTGTTTCACGTGTGCACCCGGCGGTCCAGGAGGTGTTCTTGGTTTGAACCACAGCAAAGAGAGGGAAAAGCCCTGAAGACGCTATGGGTTTTTCCTTTTGTATCTCTAGATCATGCAGCCGCTGTGAACCAAGACGATCTTGTCCTATCTTCAAATGGACCTCTCGCCGCAAATGGACCGAACACCGCGGCCCATCCCGCGCGGGAACCGCGCCTTGAAGCGGGAGGATCTTGGCCAAACATCCAACTGCAACGTATCCTCTCCATTGAACAACTCACCTCGGAGAGAACGGAGAGAAGATGCTTTTTCGTCTGTCCCGAACACCGTGGGACGCTGGACCGGGGGAACCCGAAGTTCGTCACCGTCTTGGGACCGTCAAGTCCCACTTGTTGGGCACCAGCTTTCTTTCAAAACCGGGGGGGGCATTGGACATCAAGACTCCTGTTGATGACTCTTGATGAATAAAAAACCCATATATGGAGAGGGGGAGAGGTTTCACAATTCAAACGTGTTTTGTTTAATTCATCAACAGTCTACATTAAGCTGGGACATGCTGGGACTATCTTGGCATGAATGTCTGGTGAACATGTGCTTTTTCTTTAAGCTGGACTCATCCTCTGGGACTTGATCAGCTTCATAAGCCAGTTCAACCCGTCATCTGGTGAAGATGTTCATCTCTGCAACTCGCACCATTTGGCATCCCATTTGTCCAGTCTGACCAAATGTCCAGTAATTGTCTGACTATCCTCTCGGCTAATGAGTGTGTCTTCAAACATAGAGACCCCTAACCCAAACACAGACCCCCTGGGAAAAGAATGAAATAAGAACACCTTCGAACTAAACGGAGACTAAAGCTCCCTCACAAGTCAGCATCTCCATCTCCCCAAATCTCCACATGACATGAGTCTGTATTAAAATAGGGAGCTGTCTGGAAGAAGGGAAATAGCACAAAAGCCATTGGTTGGGGCACACCCACATCGCTTCCATAGTCCGGACATCCTTTTCCACAGCCAAAATGCTCGCGAAGACGCACGTGTGGCACTTGGCGCAATCAGCTTCGTTAAGATTCTTGTTCAACGTCTCCTGCCCACATCGGGTGTCCGGCTTCGCTGGGAAGAAAGACGGAGCCGGGCACGAGGTTGTCGCTCATCGTCGAACAAAACTCTGTGTTGCCCCAGGGAAGTAGAGGAAGTTCTCTTTCAGGTCCTTCACACCACCCAACTCCATGTGACTCCTTTGGATCCAGACCCTTCTGTTCATGTGACTCCATCGGGTCTCAGTGCCCCACGTCGTCGATCCAAAGCTCTTTCAAATGCCGAAAGCTGTCGATCTCTTGTCTCGACCTCGAGGCATCGGAGCAGCCCGCGGTCGGCAACGCGGTCGGCCGCATAAGCCAAGCTGGCGCGGTCGGTCATGGACAGACGACCCATGAATGGGTCAATGGCCGAGTGGGGAGACTGGGAATTGAAGATGAATGAAGAACAGGAAACAGTCCCAGGACCCTCCCAGTGACCTTTTGATCCCCTGGTTTGAGGGTCACTATTAGGCTTGTGAGAGTCACAATCAGGTGTGACAGTGTGATGCATTCTCGAATCCATTCCCCACCCTGGTTGGCCCCTTTCTCACAAAAATAATTGACTTTCTCGTTGCTTTTGAGCGGCGTGGTTTCTGGTGATTTGTCCAAAACCCAAATCCTCACATAGCGACCTCCGTTCCGCGCATCCGCGCACCGTTCCGCGCATCCGCGCATCCGACATCGCGGGCCGTCGAAAGGCACGGACGGCCCTCGACGAACACGTCTCACCACGGACGTTTCCAGCTGAGCCACTCCGGAGCGAAGCTCACCTGGAGACCCTGAGAGTCCGACGAACATGAACGATCCCGAGAGCCGAGAGCAAGTAGTGGATGGATTGACTATGATTATCTATGATTGACTACTCGGTCGAACGGCGTTGCAAACGCTCCACGGCGTTCGCTCAGCTCGGGATGTCGGGACTGACAATGCGCGCATCTTCGTCCGACGCTCGGACGCCGTAACAAGCGGTCGGACTTGGAAGGGGGCATCTCGCAGCCAGCTGTTGGGGACGGACCGGAGACGGATGAGGTTTTTGACACGAAACCGGGCTCCCATGTCCGGTCGGGAAGCCCGGGCGTCCGATGTCTGGGCACTTCGGCTCCGCGAACTTCGGACCAAGACCTCTGAGCTCGAAGCTCGAAGCCCAAATGTCCCTAAGCCTTCAAAGACATAATTGAAAATTCATTGGAAAAATGGATGGTTTTGTAGTGCAAAATCAAATAAAACAATATAAAACACTGGCTCCTTTGGTGAAGACCATTAATGGTTTGTTGGGATCCTGGGGTATATGGATTGCTTTGGGTCCAACGAGTGGCCGTTGGGCCAGCCATCACTTCAAGGCTCGACGCTCGTGATGTGTGGCGATCAGTCTAGAAAGTGGCAGTAGATAGCGAAAAGATTGGAAGAAAAAAACGCTTGGCTCATCCTAGCCGCGTTTCTTGATATACTGTATATATGTCCCATGCTTTCTGGCTTCTTTCGTCGAAATCTCTTCGTTCCCCGCCACACACGAAGCTCGCCGCCTTCCGGACCTTCCTGGGAGACGCCTGTCGCTGCGGTCCGTGCCCCGAATCCGGACCGGGCTGGGGGATCTGATGGGGTCGGGATGAGAACACCAATCCGGGAACCAGGAACTATAGCTGCTTTCATCTGTTTTCATCCGATCCAACCTTTGGAGCTTCAGCCTCCACCTCCCGACTCCTCCCGTCGTTCGCCGGACTTCGTTCGCCCCCCCGGTCCGTCCACCGATGTCGGCTCGACTCGACTCCGGTCAGGGCCTGGGAGCGCAGCAGTGACGCCGTGGGTCTCATCGAATGATGTGGTAAACTGGCGCAGTGACCCGTGGCGCGCCGGTCGACCCGGACGGGCGGACGACAGGGTCGACCCGGATGGATGACGTGACCAGGACAGGGAAAGAGACCGAGCTTGCATGCTCAAAGACCAGCGTCTTGAAGTGCTCATTTGGCAGCTCAGGTTTGGGGGCATCAGTGTACCTGCCATGATGCCCAGCATTCTACGTAAGTGCCACGAGGAAAGTGTGTGAATGTGTGAGTTCTTCCTGCAGGTGTTCTTGTCCTCAACCCCACCTAGGGAGGGCGAGGCTACAGGGCCTTTTCGTCACGAAAGGAAGCGAATTCTCCCCGCCTCTCGTGCATCTCTTCCGCTTGCAACACGTGGGTGCCAAATCCACATCGAGGACAGGCAGGACAGGCCCTGCGGCGTCGGATTCAGCGTCAAAAAACGCGGCGTCGTTTTTGGCGTCGTCCAAAGATCACACCCGCGCACATCGGGTCCAAGACGCAAAAATAAAGAATGACTTTAGAATGACTTCACGCGAGAGACCACAGAGCACGTTGCTCTTGTAAGGAAGGTCATGAACTCAGAAGGGTTCGTAGTGGACTGACCTGGATATACAAGACCTTGCATGGAACAGGATGGAAGCGACAACATCCAATCGTGAAGCGATCGCCTCTCTGTTTGACCATCTGGCCCAGTTTCTTTCCTGGAAGCACGAAATCCGGCGTTCTGGTTTCATCCCAAAACGACCCTCGACTGGAGGAAAAACCCATCAAAAACCTGATGTTTCAGGTATTTTCAGGTCCCTTGGACCTGGAATTTCGGTGGGATGGGACTTCAGTTTGTTCGGTATGTTCGGTCACAAGTTCTGAAGAAGCGGCGGCACAAAGAATCGATGCGAAGTAACTCGAACATGTTCAATCGGCCGAGAGATACATTATCTTCCACTTTTTTCACGCAGCGGGCTAGGAGTCTCCCCAATCCCCAAATCTGTCTGCCCCCTTCGACACAGCATGTCAATCGAACCCCTCGCAGACACAGGTACCGCAGCAAGATGCTGGAAACCTCCTCACCTTCCAACGACACAGGACTTCAAGTGCATTCGGTCCACAAGACAGCCCCAGAAATGTAAACCGATAGAAGTGCCCCTTCCACGCGGACATGAGCACCAGCTGGTGAAGTGCAAAGTAAAGCTATATAGGTGTTGATTGAAAGCGTTGCTCTGAAAGAGATCTGTGAAAGGCCATTCTCGTTTGTTGAAATGTCGTCGTCAGTGCATACCAGTCGCGACATGGCGACAGTGTCAACTCTGCGGTGAAGTCTCAGGTGCCACAGGTCTCCTCGGCCGTTTCCGGCGTCCGTCTTTGGCACCGCGCCCATCCTGACCACGGGCGACCGTGGCCGGACGCGTGCCCGCTGGATGTCGTGCGCGCGGACGGCGCGCCACGCAGCGTGTGCCGAGTGCCGAGCTCCTTTTTCTCGACCGTGCGCGTCACCGGGGTCACCGGGGCGCCGGAATCAGGTCACCGTGAGTCGCGCATCGTCCATCACAGGCACGAATCCTGCAGGATTCACACTGAAGTTCATGAAAATTCATCACATGCAATGGCAAGTGCAGTGCCTGGTACCCAATCTCCATGAAAGGAATACGGCACGTGGGTAGGAAGATGAACCTGCGGTGTCCAACCCAAATGAAACGGCTCGAGGCACGTCGTGGAAAACAACTAAACATTAGACCCTGAAGCACGGTTGGCATGTAACAAAGTGTTCGACGGCGAACTCGCACAGAAAGCAACCCGGAGAATCTGTGCGTGGAATATTTAATGTGCCTTTAAAATCCCTTAAAGGGGTACATCTTGCATGCACTAGTAGGACAACATCCTGTGGAATTCTCTGAGTGAGCCCTTGTTGATTGTCTTTCACTCTATAGATGACCCATCACACTGGTTGGTTGTGGGTCAAAGCAAGACACCTTGATTGACCCTGGCGACATGGTCGACCGGCTCCATTGGCTCGCTGCACGATAGCTGTTTTTGTCCGCCCGCCTTGGCCACAGGACCGGCGGCCAGATTGCCAGCATCGAAGAAGGCAAAAAACCTGAGGAGTCGGAGAAGGACAGAGAAGTTGGAAAAGCTATCTGAGCTGTGTTCTTTTTGGTTGCTTCTGCGGCATACAGTTTTGGGGGCGCGTACATGACAGCCTACGCAGAGATAACCTTTTTGCAAAGAGTGCCTACGCGAACTTTCGCACAATTATTGGTGGCTACGCGCTCGCGCAGACCGCGCTAAAGACCTTTTGAAACGCGTGCGCACACGAGATTGTCCGCGTGCGAACGCACACGAGATCTCCCAACCAACTTTGTTTGCCGTTCGAGCGATTTGACCTCCCAAAGAAAGGTTTGCGTGTCGCTCCACAGTCCGCGTTTCGCTCGGCAAGGGTTTTGTGGTGTGAAGCATACCAGACACAGATGGGCCGGAAGGGAAACATAAAAATAAGTCTAGACTCATGTAGACTCTGGATAACCTCCCCGTTTCGGATTGAAAAACCTCTTCTGCCTCTGTGGGGGTATTCATCAAGAGTCTACATAGAATACTCCTACTCCTTTTTGCAGTCCAAGGAAATCAACTCAGCATCTCATACTATCTGCTTCACATGCTGGCTCAGCTCTTCACGATTTGTGCACGTTCGCATCGTAGACGCAGGTGCAAACATACCTTCAAAAAGACCAGGGCAAATCAGCAAGAAAAACAGGTACAGGACTTCACAACGACCAGAAAACAAGCAACCAACTCATGCAGAAATGCCACTGTGTTTTAGAGATTTTAAAGTATCGGCGCCGAGTTTCGCATTGAGTTCCTCCTGCGGCCCTGTCTTTGGAAGAATCATCCTTAGCTGAAGATTAAAAGATCAACAACCTGTTCTGCGGATAAAGGATGCTAAAGGGCATGATGAGTAATTAGATATAATAGTAGGAACATTCCAAAACCAACTGCCTCCGCCGTCCGTGTGTGTTTTTCATTTTTGATCCCAAAGAACCTCCGTCGAGACACGGTTCCCCAGCAAATTGCCCGGCATCAAACCGCGCGCGATCCAACAGGTTCTTCTCCAGGTCGAGGCGTTCGATGCTATTGGCAAAGCCCTGGAGACGCGGTTTGCACCGCGCAGAACGACCGATGCAACGCCGAAGTAAGGGGTTGTTCGGTTGCCTTCCCCCCCCCCGCCCAGATGAAGGAAGATCTGTCAAGTACATACTGATCAGAAGTCCAGGAACCCACGATTTTTTGCACCACCGAAGTAAAGGAAGTTCCTAGACTCGGATCACCTAGTCAGACCATGTGTTTGGTGGTCGACTGGACTCCCAGGGCGCATGTTTGAGAAATTCAGCATCTGGATCCTGCTGTGTTTTTTTTTGATCCGGTGCGACGGTGCGGGTGTCCAGCGGGAACTTTGGGGTTGAATCCAAAATACCCAGGCTTGGGTGGATAGATTTCATGTATTGGCTAATATTGCCAGCCCATCACCATCAGCAACCGGAGGAAACAATCCAGGAATTAATTGACTTTTGGATTCTCAAAGCCATGGCGTGGATGAGCGTGGTGGTTTTCCGCAAGCAGAAACAGTCGCATCCCCAGCCCCAGCCACTTCCTATGTAAAGGGTCTCAAGAAAACCATATTAGAACAACCAGCTGTTTCTGGCTGTTGGCTGCGGTCAGATCTAATCCACCGCCCTATCTTTTCCGCTCGGCGACGTGCCAAGCGTCCAAGGTCTGGGTGTGTATTGAAAAAGGGAAAAGTATTCCCGGCAAGAGACCCCCAACAGCGTGTCGAAAGGTCTAAGGTCGAGGGGTGTAGAAACAGGTCTAGAAATCTAACGTTTTGGGTTCCAGAGAGGGGTGCTGGCGGCAAGATGGCGCGGATGGCGGTAGTGATGATGATGGGTGATAATGGTGATGGTGCTGGCGATGGTGGCGATGGTGGTGATGGTGGTGATGATGTGAAGGTGGTGGTGATGATGGCGATGGCGTGATGATGGTGATGGCGGCGGTGGTGGTGGCGGCGGCGATGATGATGGTGGTGAAAGTGGTGATGATGGTGGTGGTGATGATGTTGGTGATGATGCTGGCGGTGATGATGATGGCGGGGTGGCGATGGTGGTGACGGTGGCGGCAGCGATGGTGGTGATGGTGATGGTGATGGTGGCGGCGGCGATGGTGGTGATGGTGGTGGTGATGGTGATGGTGGGGGGGTGGGGTGGACCACCAAAACACGAGGTTTCCCTTGCGCCTGCCACGATAAGTGATCGCCGGCACTACAGCGAGAGCGCCGTCGGGAAGCGGACCCGCTCGGGCCCACCAGATACAACAAGCCTGCGTAGTCGAAATGCACTTCGAAGATCTCAGGGTGAATGAATGCACTGTAAATAGCAGCGGATTAGCCGGTCATGGATGCGCACCCCTCGGATCAGGCACCTAGCCCTAACCCTTACCCTAAGAACCCCTAGTGTTACCCAAAAAAATCGGCAATGGGTTGGGGTCTATGTTCCTGCTTCATCCTGCTTCCTGGGGGGTCGTGGCCTGGGAGGTCTCGCTACTCTAATAATATCTACTACACCCCCCCTCTCTCTAAACTGGACCCAAGGGGCTGCGGTGGATGGAAAGGCACTGTTCGTGAAGACATGGCGATGCTTTCCTGGCAGGATCTGTTCTTCGATCCCTGGACGAGAACACGTAACACCAAAAAAAGGTCCAAATGGACGAGGATCACAAGCACCATTGATTTCATAGTCTTTAACCATTCTTGAATATTGCTTTATGATTACTTAAGAAGCTTTTGACACCTTTTGACTACAATGACAAAACTAGCTCAACCTTTCTTTTCATGGTCTTGGAAGGCTCGGGGAAATCATGAACTGATTTGATACCAAGCTACTGCCAACGAAGGCCGGGTGAATCGTCGGAAGCTCAAAGGAAGCCGCCTCTGCTGGTCCCACTGAGCCTGGTCGAAAACAGGTGTCACGACCGGCCCCCTTGTGATCCGGACAGCAGACAGCAGGGCTATGGTTGTGGGCCATGGCACCGGAGGACGCTGGTTCTTCCCCACCAAACAGGTGGCCATGGCACCGCTCTGAGGGGCCAGGGTAGTCAAACCCACGGCGGCCGGAGCGATGACTGAGATGACTGAGACACTCTTCGAAAGATGTCATCGGCAAATCCCTCATATACCCAGAGCGGCCCATGAATAGATCGTGATCTTATCCATTCCAAGTGCAGCTTGTTCGTGGGGCTGAATATCTGCAAGACCCCCCGCCAGGCCCCACCAGACAGGCTCTCTCTTTGAAGTTTTCGCTATTACCCATCATGACTTCAGGATACGCTAGGCAAGCGCCCCGCTGGCCACGCATCGCAACACGCATCGCCACTGAGCCCACGGCTCACAGAGATCTGCCCAGCTGAGATGTCGAGCACCAGTTCTTTCAAGCAACATCGGGTCTCATCTGTCCAAGTGCTTCGGTACATATCCTGACCACTCTTTTCGGCCGTTGGGAAGAATCACATGCAAAGTGCCCCCCCGCAAGGTCATGCGAACTTTCGGATCAACACTTCGATGAACTTTGCAGGTTGGTTGGGAATTTCTTTCCAATTACTAAAGTTGCGAATGGCTGCAAACTGCTAGTTGTCTCAGTGAAGATCTTTGAAGATTGACACCCGTCCAACGGGACCACTTCATTTGAGTCAGGAGTCCGACGGTTTCGAAACCCCACGAAGACTTCGGTTTCTTCGTGGTCTGCCTGGAAGTTCCTCTCCACCTCCTCCCGGGATCCATTGTGCGCGGCCACTTGGAGCACCACTGCCTCACCCTGGTCAAAGGCATTCACCTTGGCCCGCCACGTCCGGTCCGGTCCGGGTGGGGTGGGCGAGGCAGGGCGAAGCACTGAGAGTCAGGAGAACAAAGGCAAGTTGAGATGACAAACATGGGTTGCGTACGTCCTGGACGAGCTGCGGGAGATGTCCACCAATGAAAGGGTTTGTCCTGATCCAGTCGATGTCCCAAACCTTCCAAGGGGGGGTGGAACGCCTGGGATGCCTCCCTATATTTAATATACACACAAATCTGGGTGAGGAGAAATCCAACTCAGAACGCTGTCAACTGAAATATCTGAGACACCGGCAGTGTGGTAGAGGGAGACTGGAGGCTTGAGAGTTTCATCGAAGACCTTGGAAGGTTTGTTCCACCAAAAAAAGGCGCTGTCTCACGAAAAACACGGTGCGTGGATGTCCGTGGTCGTTGAAAGAGAGAACCAACAGAATCGAACAGGGCAAAATGGCGCAAAATGGCTGTGAGTCAAAGCCTTTTCCTAGAAACTATAGAGGAATTTGTTCATGTTCAGATATTTTGAGGAGTCCACCAGGGTCCCCCAGGGTCCACCAAGTGACCAAGACACCGTGCTGAGGTCACTGCGTCGCAAGAGCACACACCTGGTACCCAAATCTTCTTGCCATTGGAACTTGCTTCCCAGGCCTCCTTCCCAAAGGCTTTGGAGCACACCCTCCACGGGGCAAACCCAAGGAGGCAGGATCAGCACAATATACTTCTCTGTGATCGCAAAGTCGTGGACGAAAGTGAGTTCTTTCAATGGAACTTTGCTCCGTTGCCGGAGCTCCCCTGCCGCGGAGCAGCAATAGACTTCCAGGCTAAGCGGCATCCCAAGCGTGATACCAATGTTGAAGAGCTCGCCGGAGCTCGCGTCCCGTTTCGGATGAGCCGAGAAGAAAAAGACACCACTTTCTGACAGTTCGGGAGAGGTGAAAAGTGCTTCACCCAGAGTTTCTAAGGTGCCTGGGTTCAAGCGATACGGCAAGCCTCCTTCACACAAGGCCAACAAACGATCGCCCCACCATAGCACGCTGGTGTTTGCCGGGTTGGTTGGTATCCTGAAGACATTGGAGAAAAAGTCCCCATTGGCTGCAGGTGTCCAAGGACATGCTGAGGCCATGCCCAAACCTTCCTTGGCTCTGGCCAAGGCGCTTGGCTCTTCTTGGGCCAAGAAACGCGAAGTGCGCACAAAGCGCGAAGCAAAGGCTGCCTTTCTTTTCGTGCCATCAATGGAAAGGGCAAAAACAAATCCATCTCCATCAAACCAGTGTAAATACTCCGAGCATCCAACACGCAGCCGACCGGATGCATTTCGATAGATGGTCCCTTTCAGATCTAACATCGAGGACCACCTGACGTCCGTGATTTCAAGTTCCACCGGTTCCAGCTCCTCTGCTGCTTCAAAGCCTCTTCTCCATGGCTCCTTCGCCAAGCATTCCTCCAAGTCGGCAGTCTCCACGGAGGTCTTCGATGTCCTCGCGCGCCGGCGAACTCTCCACGAAGAGGGTCGCGCCCGGCGAGACCAAAAAAACGAGGAGGCCAAGGGGAGATGCCCAGTGCAGCTCTGCCCACGTTCTTCGTGCGCTGCTTGGTGTGGGCGTGGGTGTCACTGCGCTTTGCGTCAAGATCGGATTGCGCAATCCATGGCTAGAGGGAAGAGCTTGCCAAGCCAGCATCAATTATGAGCTGAAGAGAAAAGGATAGAAATGTTTCACCTTCTACCGCTACCTTTTGCAAAAAAGTCGAGTTGCAAATAGGAGTCCTGAGGGGTTGGAGCCTGCCCTTCTTGTTGGTCAATCTCTTTCTTGCAGTATCTGTTCTACATTGGCTTGGAGATGTTCGATTTTGTGTGGTGCCAAGCGTGTAAATCTTGTAAGTGAGTTGACAATTTGGCCAGATTTCAAGCACAGCGTCTCATCACAAGCAGTTCACAATCGGCCTTGCCACCCTCGAGGATCTCCTCTTTGACGAATTCGCATCTCAGGGAAACGGCAAGCGGCAAGATGCAGCAAGTACGGCTTAAAGTCATCCTCACACTCTGCAACAATCTGAGGACTCTGAATGCACGGTCATGAGTACTGAGTACTAGATGTCTTCTGGAACCAGAAAAACAAGACGTGCGGACCTCCCGACGTCTTACTCCTGCGGACTCAACCGGTCTTGGCATCTACCGGCTATGAATCAATGCCCCAAAACTGGCCCGTGTGCATATCATCTTCCAACTCACCACGCATCATTGCCTCTTCCATGAAACCAGCCATGTTGAAAGGTTGCAGAGTTGGGCACCCCCTCATAGGGTCTTCCATAGGTCCCAGCACTCGTTGCCGAAAAGCACATGACTCGTCGCGTTCGTTGTCCCAGCGGCGCAGTGATCTGTGGCATCGCCGAGCCGGGTCGTCGCTCGTAGATGACACGCTCATTGCGCCAGGCCTCGAGGACCTCGGCGAGTCATCGCCGGTTCCCGGCGGCGGTCATCCTTGCGGAGCCTCCCGGAGCTGAACGAGTCCGAGGTGTGACGTGTTGGGGTTGAGAGGTACATTTTGGTTGGAGGCTATCGCTATTAGGTTTAGATGTATACATTGGAGGCCATCGCTATTAGGTTGGAGGCCATCCCTAGTAGGTTGGAGGCCATCACTTTAGTAACAAGACCTGCCATGCAAGAGCCTCTCGCTCTCTACTTCTGGATGGTGCCAACTTTCGATCTCATACTCTCGCCCCAATCACTCAGATCGGAACCGGAAAGCGTGATCGGCGAGGATGGCCGGAGCGACCTGAACGACTTTGAAACGTCGAGCGCTGACTTGTTGAGGGGGGGCCGGCTGTTGCAAGCAAAGCACACCCAGAGAATCAAACTGTTGCACACCCAAAGCACGCCAAACCGCAAGCAAGCAAAGCACACCTAATAAGAAAACACCAAACCGCGAGGACTTCGGAGAATGTCGATCTTCTGTTTGCCACCCAGGGCAAAAAGCCTCCCATTGGCCACGCTTGTTGACCGCTGAGGCCTTCACCTTCAGTCCCCGGTCGAAACTCCTCAGCAGCGATCACCGCCGTCCGCAGCTCCTCTGCGATCACCCGCGTGTCCTCTGGCGCCTCAGCGCATGTCCGAAGGCCAGACTGTCAGGCTTGGGCGTACCAGGGGTCACAAGTAACGGGGTGGTTTGGCTCGTCCCATCCGGTGAGTTGAGTAGCTGGGCACCCCTATCCTTCCTCCTAAGTTCGGCACCCCATACTTGTGACCCCTGGTATATCCATTTTTATTTTTAGTTGTTGATTGTTTAATATATATATATATATATACCCTAATGATCCTTGGAGCCGACACCTTCGCAGGGGTCGAACCCTCTATAACAGGGGGTTGTACCCTCAACACCCTTAGGGTATTGTATAAATTACAATATAATACATATATATATATCCTGCGAGTCCAGTCGACTATGAAGGAATGGTCAGACTTCAGTCGGTCAAACTATAGTCGAACTGGACTTTTAGGGCATTGGGTATATCCTATTTGGGTGTAACGGTGGATGATGATGGCTTTTCTTTGCAGGCCTTTCTGTAAAACCATCAGAGAAAGGATAATGATGATGTTCTTGTCCCTGGGAGGTCCTTTCTGTTTCTTTGGGCCCTGTAAAATGGATGATGATGTTCTTGTCCCAGACCCCAGCACCTTCACCCTTTTTGAGAGCCGCACGGCTACCATGTGATGCACCTTCCGCACCTTCGAGCCTGGAAGAAAGTAATTCGGTTCCAGGGTGTTCGAAAGGGCAACAGGGAGAGGCACTTCCACAGAATGATCTCCGACTGAAGAGGAATAGTTGAAGCCACTAGTAACAAGGGCATCGCTACTAGTAGCTAGAAGCTACTAGTAGCGATGCCCTTGTTACTAGTTCGGGTGCCAGGTACCATATTAATATACCATTAGTATCATGTAGTATCATTAGTTCGGCTGCACACGTCGATAAATCTTACCTTAAGCCATCAAGGCATTTCCACCAGGTCTTCAAGTCCCCATGTTTTGACTGTCTTCCAACACGCCTGGGGTCGCTTCTGCCAGCGCTTGCACGATCTTCTTTGCTTCGCTTGGCTTCAGCTCCTGACTTTACTGTCGCAGATCGCTTCACCGTGGCATACTTGAAAACAAGTGGAAGTGGAAAATAGAGTGACCAAAGAAAAAAATGGCAAATAGCTACTAGTAGCTTCTTGTTACTAATGGCCTCCACCCTAGTAGCGATAGTAGCGACCTTGCTACTACGGTTCACATTGGATCACATTGGTATGCAGAATGATGCAGACCATGTTGGTCAACTTGCACCAACTGAAGGCAACACTCAGTAGAATGTCTTAGTGTTTTTCTCTTCTCAAAGGGGCTGCAAGTCTCCAGACGCTGGAAGGTCCTTCTGCTTCCTTGGTCTTCCTCGTTTTCTGGGAGGGATGGCAGGCCTCAGAGGTGGCGCATGTCCAAGCTGACAAAACAGACCCTTTCCCTGGGAGTCCAGTCGACTCTTAAAAAATTGTCTTTAAATATATAACCCGAAAAAGAAAAAAAAAACTTAGGTCAAAATATAGTCTTTGGACTTCTAGGGCCTGGCGTTCTCATCAGAGCTCGCAGGCTGCAGTCATGGACCAGAGCTCTAGCCGCGTCCATGACCGAAGCTCTTGATCCCAAGGATATCTAAACATTCTAAACTATATTAATCCCCAAATGGATAGAAAAGTAGATCCCCACTCAAAATGTATTGGAAACATTGGGAAACTGTTTCTATCTATTTGGGGACCACTATAGCATACTGAGGCATTCTTTTCGACACATCTTCCAGTCCTCGCAACCCGTCCTCAAGTCCCGACCAACCTCTCTACCAGTGGTGCTTCGTCACCAGTCGGCTCCTGCTGTCACAGCTGTCACAGTCGTCTCCCTCGCTTTGGATGCTTTGCTCCGTTCACAGTCGGTCCTGCGCCGCCTGCGCCTCCACCTCTGTGGGCGAGACCTCTGTCGCCTCAAGAATCGGGGCTTCGCGACGTACCGCGACAGAAAAAAAGAACTCTTTAGCTTTAACAACGCGAGATGACCTGGTGCTGCTGGCTGTCGTGGTGGTGGTTGTGGTGGTGGTGCCGGTGATGATAGTGATGGTGCTGGTGCATGTCTTTGGCACGGAAGATAATACACTTTCCCCTCTCAGCAAACCGATTGAGCCCTTCCAGCCTGCCTCGGTTGGAATCGACCTGCTGCTGGTTGGCTCATCGACACCTTTCACAATTCCAGCAGCTCTACATGTAAATCTTAGATCTTGATATACACTCCCTCCAACAATCATGGAAGTGGAAAGCGGTCTGTTAGTAGAGGAAACCATTTTCCAAGGGGCCATGTTCCATGTCCATGATTGTTGGAGGGTAATCTTCTCCACCTAACCCGCCTGCAGCACTTCTGCTCTGATCCAGCAATGAAAACAAGCTGCGGCTGGGCGTCGGTGTGCGATGAAGCGCGGTTTGTGCCTGCCACATCTTTGCTCAGCCATGTCACCCCTGTAATTACCAGTCAACCAGTCGAGTTGGCATCAAAACAGCTTGTTGGTCTTCTCTTGTGTTCCACACCCCTTCGTCGCACGCCTTGAGTCCAGGCTTCCCCATCACGACCTGAGAACACGAAACCGCACGGAATCGTTCAAGTGTTCAGGCCATTCAAAGAGAAACCTTTGGTTGTCAGCAACTGGTCAGCAACTGGTCATCCCGACCTTCCGAGCGACCTGAAGCAAGCAGGAGTGCTGCACAGCGCTGCAAGCGCAAAGCGCAAAGCGCAAGCGCTTTTGCGCTGAGTGCTGATGGCAGCGGGATCAGGTCCGGTGCACGGCTTTTGAGGATCTTTTATATTCTGGTCTGGGTGATGGCATGTATGTCAATCTATCATGGTTTGGGGATTGAAGGATTTGACTCACATCCATATCAAAAAAAGATCACAGCTTCGCCATGCTCCGCCATGTTTCGCCCTTTGCATCCAATTCTATGCACCATGGTCTACCCACTTGGAACTGCATCCTGGAGCACCTGGAGCGCATGACTCTGGGACGAAAGAAAGGTTTTAGGGCCTATACCTCGGTGTACATGACTCTGGACATCTCATGTTTGATGCCATCCAGTCGCCGCCCGCCCGACTGAAGTCCCATTTCGTCCTCCCTACGTGTCAAACATGTTCAATCCCACCGAATTGGCACAAATCCAAGAAGCCGGTTCTGTAAGAAAGAAGCCATGTTCGATCATGTTCGCACACCACCGATCCACACGCAACTCAGAAAAAGAACGAAACACTTCATGTGGATGCTTTTCACGAAGCATTTCAGCACTTGTCCAACCTTCCACTGGTCCAACCTTCTTTGGGTTGTGGCGCCTGTCCGTTCACAAGAACTCGAGGCCTCGGGATGACGTGGAGGCGGCCACTGGTCTCTCTCGGTCTAAAAAAGGCATGGCTTCCCATGCTTTTGGCCAAATAGAACATAGTCTTACCTAGAGCTGATACATGTTCAGGTCATCTTGAGATCTGCAGAAATCAGGTTTCTGGAGACGAATATCAGAACGTCTGCTCCGTCCAAGCTGCCGCGGGCTCGACTCTTGCCCACTCGCGAGCGGTGCGTTCCGCCCTGCAGTCCTCAGGTCTTGGGTCTCCGTGTGTGGCTCAGATGGGAAGACCATGGGAAACCTCCCAGGCCCGACGGAAGAAAATCGACCCGTCTACCCAGCCAGATTGTACTGACAAAGGGTCTGATGGAGTTCAAAGACACACCCATATTCACCGAACACCGAACATCTGACTGCCGTCAGCCAAACACCGAGGACTCAACGAGACGAAAAACCGCCGACCGGACCTGCCGGGTCTGTCAAAAAGAGAGACGAGCGGGATGGGACGCGGCACGCGGCGTCGCTGCGGCCATGTTGTTGAAGATCCGAGAAAAGAACGAACTGAGGCCAATGGCTTGGGAGAGTTAGCGCAAGGACCACAGGAACTTGGTCCTGCCAACATCACGATTTGAGGTTTCACAGCCGAACCAAATGTGTGGACAAAAAACCGCCAGACCTCCAGTTGGCGCACTGCGGCACTGAAGTTTTCTGGAATATGATCCTCGCAAGCAAAGGGAGCAAGCAGCAAGCAGGTCCAAGCCGAGCTCTGATGACTTGGGGATGTTTGGGTGGCTCTCTTGTTTCCCCTTTGATGTAGAGGCTCACAGCTCAACAACAAAAAGGAGCCTCCATGAAAGGCGAAACAAGAAGGAACCGTTCGAAATGAGCAGGCGCAACTATGCATCTCTCATGTATCGGTTCATTGAGCCTCTCATGCTAGCAGCTGCTTGCAACTGAGTGGCGTCTAAAGCCCGTACTCCGTGGCAAAGAACACGATCCTCAATCGTGTTTCGTGATTTTTTGTGCACGTCTTGCCGGATACTATAGGCAACCATCAACTGCCAATCTACAAAGAGCTTTCATGCACAGAACCTCAACCTCTGATTGAGCTCTTGACAAAGTTTCCAACACACTCAAAGTGAGAAGTGCATCCTGCCATCATTTCGCAGGCACACTTTGCGATTGTTTGGCTCGCTTCACTTTTGCATGTTGAATCTTGAGCTGTCAAGTGTTCTGAAAATGAAGGACCTGGATGCCCTGGTCTAATCTCATCGAAGTCGAACGCAAGCCTCGGTAGCTGTCGACTACTGTAAACCTGCCCTCAGTTGTTGAGTGTCTTGCCACAGGGGCGTTGGTTTCGGCACACTAATTGTACTACTGTTCCTTTGAGGCAAAGAGAGTGCGAAAAAACGAAAATCGAAGGAAAACAAGTGGTTTGTCATCATCACAAGAGCCTTGTGGGATGCTGCTGTCTTCACGCTCCAAACTTTGCCCAAACTCAAGAGATAAAGCTCCGAAATAATTTTGGGAAGAGAAGGAAGGAAGGTCAGTCGGAAGACAGGAACTCGTGAGAAAAATATGCAAGAACCGCTTGGAGGCAGCTCAGCATGCTCAGGTCAGTAGAGAAGCAAGCTGGTTGGTGGCTTCAACTCACTTGAAAAAATAAGTCAGTGGGTTCCATCTTCCCTAGTAAAGGCAGAAAACAGAAATATCCGAAACCACCACCTAGCAAGTCAAGTGGACTGCCGCTCCAGAGCTCAGTGATCAGCCCTGGCTTCAGCACATCATTGGGGCACTGCCTCACCAGTCAAACGAGGCAAACTGCGGCCAGCTGCCCCATCTTGAGCTGATCCACTGAATCTGAATCAACCAAACTGCTGCAACCCGTGCTTGACCCTTTGGCGTCTTTCCTTCACCAACGACCAATCCGAAAAAAAAATTAAAAAAAAATGACCTCCAGATCCGTCGTTCCCATGTCCCACGCGACTCTGCTCCCCCTTCAACCCGTGGTGGACAAACACGGCGCGCATGCAGAACCATCGACGAAAACGCCACGTGGCAAAGAAACGTCTTAAACACAAAGAAACTAGTAGCGTCCGATCGCTCCCAGTCGCGATGCCAGGAGCCCCGTTCGTAGCGTTCGATCGCTCCTAGCGAAAAGAAACCCGTCATTCTGCTTTCGGGTCCGGCGCACCCTTGACAGGTGCTCCAGCAGGAGTCTCCATTCCCCACCGTGCCGGGCTCCAGATCCTGAGACGAACCCGTCCAATCGACCACCGGGCAAGTCCGTCGAAACATGGGTCAAGAGATGGTTTTGGGACGAGCCAGTTCGGTCGAGTCAAGTGGGACCAGGAAATGCATTGAATCAACTTTCATCATACTACCGTAGGGATCCAGGTGTACCTTCTCAGAAGGTACAACTGGACCCTTCTACATAACAGTGTCTCCAATCATCTTCTGAGAAGGTACGACTGGATCCCGAACGGGCTACATGATCTTCAGAATACCTTCGGATGCACCAAATTCCAAATGCATCTCTTTCTCATCACCCTCCAGGTGTTGGGCCGTTCTCGCTCGCAGGGAAAAAATTAAAAAAACACAACAACCACAACCACAACCACCACGACCACGACCACGACCACGACCACGACGACGACGACGACCAGACCACGACGACGACGACCAGACCACGACGACGACGACGACGAGACCACGACGACGACGACGACGCGACGCGACGACG